CGAGCGCGATGCGGCAGTAGCGTCTCGCGCGCTCGTGTCCCGCCCGCGGCCCCCAAGAAGCCGCGCACCAAAGGTCACTTTTACCCAGACTCACTCTTGCGTGTAGCCGAAGACTGGCGGCGTGGGGGCGCGCATACAGCAGCGCTCGCCTCGCTCGGCGCGGGGGCGGGGGCCCACCCCGCTGGAGGTTTGCGCCCACCCCGTGGAGATGTCCTCGTCCTCGTCCCTTCCTCGATTCCTCGAGGTCCTGATCTTCCTGTCCTTCTCGTGTGTGTCTTGGGCCTGTTGCTAATGTATTCGTGTGGTGGGCGCGATGCGCTCCTGGTTGCGTTGGACGATGCGCTCCTGGTTGCGTTGGACGCGCTGGAAAGGACAAGGAGGTCTGGCCCAGTGCAGGAAGCATCGACCCCTCGTCGCCCATTCTTCGCCGATCGGAGCCTAGGCCCCCCAGCCCGCAAAAGAGCGTGGATGTCGCTATCGGGGGCGCATCGCTGATCTATCGGCCATCTGTCGCCGATTCCAGGTCACTGTCTCCCCTGAGATTCGACGTTGCAAAAAGAACTGCAACATCGCAAAACTCGCGATCGGATCCCCAGACCCCATTTTCTGGCTGGATCGATATGTGAGGGTCCCGGGGCCCGAAACTGAGCGCAAACGCCCAGCTCGAAAAGATTGAGTCGCCAGGATCTCAGGGCCCCCCCCCTGAGCCAGTCCCCCCATAATCAGGAACCACCCCTCAGAGGAGCGCCCGAGGGTATCGGCGCGTGTTCTGGAGGCAAGCTCCGTGGCCTTCTGGTGGACACTGGAGCGGTCCCTGTGCCGTCGATCGACTGCGCGCGGTTGTGCCCCTTTTCGGGAGTGGCTTCTGGCGCTGGCCCTTCTCGATCGCTGAGCACGATGCGGCAGCATTAAGTCGGGCCTGCCCCTCTACAGGAGGAGTATTCAAAAATAGTTCAAACGACTACTCATTGGACGATTTTTTGGCAATGTTTTGGCAATTTGGGAGTATTTTTGGGGCATTTTTAATTTTTCGTCGAAAATCCCCCTGTAGGGGGACACGCCCGACTTAACGGTAGCAGCGGCATGCGCGCTTGTGTTGGGCCCCCCGCGCCCCGTTCAAGTTGCACGCCAAAGGTCACTCTTGCTTAGAGCCACTTTGGCGTGCAGCTGAATCGAGGCCATCCTCTGCAGGTGTTCGCTTTGTTCCGCTCCTGGCGCTTCACCGGATGGGACCGCCTGCTGCGGGATTGTTTGGGCGCTGCTGTGAGTTTTCGTTGCTGTGGGGACTAGTCTGCGGTCGCTGGTTGAGTGTGCCACCCAGACCGTCTCATCGAGGCCAGGGGTGGATTCTGTCTTTTGGGCCTGTCCTTTTTATTTTGCCCCTGAGGGTGAGTATGAGGAGGGAGGAGGGGAAGAAGGAGGAACAAGATGATGAGGAGGAGGAAATGGGTGATGATGGTGATGATGGCGATTCTGATGCTGCTGCTGCTGATGATGGTTATGATGGTGGCGATAATGACGATACTGTTTCTGCTGATGATGATGGTGATTTTGATGATCATGATGATGATGCTGATGCTGATGCTGATGATGATGATGATGATGACGGTGATGGCGGTGGTGATGAGGATGATGGTGATGGTGGTGATGATGCTGCTGCTGTTGCTGATGATGGCGATGCTGGTGATGATGAGACGGAGGAGGACAAGGAGGAGGATGAGCAGGAGGTGGGGGAGGATCACAAGGGCGACAAGGATGGCGGAGGATGATGCTGATAATAAGGAGACAAAGGAGAAGCAAACAGATGCTGATGATGGTGATTATGATGATGATCATGATGATGATGATAATGCTGCTGCTGATGATAATGGGGATGGTGGTGGTGGTGGTGGTGGCAATGCTGCTGATGCTGATGCCGACGGTGATTATGTTGCTGATAGTGATGATGATGCTGATGCTCATGATGATGGCGACACAGACGATGATGTCGACGACGTTGATCACGATGATGCTGCTTATGATGATGCTGATTGTGATGCTTATGCTGCTGCTGCTGATGATGATGATGATGATGATCATGCTGATGGTGATATTGCTGCTGGTGCTGCTGATGATGCCTAGTATTACAATTACTCGTGTTATTCGTATTCGCATCCTTTCGTATTAATGTAAACATACCGCTGTTGCTGATCATTCTTCTGAGGATGATGATGATCCTGATGATGATACTGATGGTGATGTTGATGCTGATGATAATGCTGCTGCTAATGATGATGGCCATGCTGATGATGATGCTGTTGATGATGATTATTGCGATGGTGATGATGATGCTGCTGCTGATGATGATGATCGTTATGCTGGTGATGATTATGACGATGATGATGAGGATGAGGATGAGGATGAGGATGATGCTGATGCTGCTGATGCTGATGATGATGCTGATGCTGATGATCATGATGATCTGGTGGTGATGGTGGTGCTGTTAGTGGCGGTGATGTTG